CACAGTAAACATGTATTATTTAAGTTGTAGTTATGTACTTATGTCAGATTTATTTCTGTAGAATATTTTGTCTTCCCTCGCAATATTAGGAAAATACAAAGACATAAGATAATGTTATTTCACACTTTCACTCATATTTGTTCACTGTTAAAGTGAAAATGTGTTAATCCATTTCTGTGACTTAGCATTTTTTGAGTATTGAGTCATATGACAGAAATGGAAAAGTATGTGGGGGGCTGCAGGTTGCAAAGAAATGCAAATGTTGCAGAGCAAAAAAAAAATTACAAAAAAAAAATCCCACTTTGTCTCCAGTGGTTTTGGTGTCAGTTAATTTGTCATCTTGGACCCTTTCTTCATAAATCGTACCGGAAAAAACAAATGACTAGAAGACCAGACAAGTCTCTTTATCGTTCTATAATCTTCCAGTACATCTTGCACTTCTGCAGATCTTTTGATAAAGACTATTGCATGTGCATTTTATTCCTAAGAAACAGGAAAAGATCACAAAGTGTGACGAATTAAAACACAAGACACAACAAGTTGAAGGACAGTTCAAGTTAAAAATCTTTAATATCCTCGTGGGGAAATTTTTGTGCAGCCAGCAATGAGACAGTCACTGTCACAATCACACATGCAACAACAACAATAAACAACAGAGAAAAGAAAATAGGGAAATAGATAGTATGACAATACACTGTATTACAACATCATTCTTGCACTGAACATCATAGCTATAAAGTATACAGTTAGGTTACATTTTGGCTTTTTCGACATGCTTGGCAAAGTAATCATTTGAAAGATTCTATACTTCAGTAGCATGGACAGTTTTGGTCATGAAGAAGAAGGCTTCTTTACTGTATACTTGCTTCTTTATCTAACATAAAAGCCCAGCTTTCTCAGCAGTCTAATCTGCTGATCTGTTTATTTTTTAGTTCAGTCAGGTAGTGCAAACGGATGCAAGAAGAGCATGTGATCGGCATCAGCACCGTTCGAGGAAAATGATGCAGGGCTTGAAATATGATTTGAGTTGCTGGACATATGAAAATATTTAATTTTCTGTAATTTGCTCTCTTATTTCTGTCCTTCTACTTAATCAGAAACATCTTTCTCTTGAGTAAAGCTGCAGTGTTCTCATGCTCTGGTGTGTCTTCACTCTCTGCCAGCTGCAGCGCCGTCTTGCCCACATTGTTTGTAGCTTGCAGATTCATCTGATTCCCTTGTCGTTTTTGCCCAGCTTGACCCCAGTTCACAAGCCTCTTCACCACCTCCTGGTGTCCACCACGAGCAGCGCAGTGCAGAGGAGTGTCTTTACTCTGATCTGTAGTGTTGATCTTTGCTCCGGCCTCCAGAAGCTGCACAACCACATTATCGTGACCTTTCTCAGCTGCAGTATGAAGCGGTGTTTTCCTCCAAGCGTTCCTGTCTTGAATCCCCTTGTTGTTGAGGGACTGTAAAAGAGCTGAAACCACACCTGCATGCCCACCAGCTGCTGCGTAATGAAGAGGCGTGGAGCCATCCATGTCTCTGACTCCTCCCTTCGCCTTGTGGGACAACAGTGAGGTGACCATGCCTACTTTTCCAGCCAGAGCAGCAAGGTGGAGGGCAGTTTTCTTCTCGTTATCGGTGGCGTTTGGGTTGGCTTTGGCTGACAGCAGCAGGTCCACCACTCGGCTTTCTTTTTGTGAAGAAGCTGCCCAGTGCAGAGCTGTCCTCCCCTGCCTGTCTTTGACTCTGGCATCTGCTTTACCCTGAAGAAGCTGCATCACAGAGTCTGCGTGACCCTGTTGACCTGCTACATGCAGAGGAGTCAGTCCATCCTGGTTCACTGCATTCACCTAAAGAAATGATGCAACATACTGTCATTTCTTTCTTCTTCTTCTTTTCTTCTCTCCTTTTTTAAAAAAAAAATAAAAAATAAAACTGACAACATCACCAAACACAGTCAGAATGTGTTTGTTCCAAAAGTCCTGTAAAGTTCTAAAAATGTTTTCAGGGGGAAGTTTTCTTTCAGTTCCCAGAATGTTCATCTTAAAGGTTGGATAACTAAAGACGTTCTAAAAATGTTTGGTAATGACATTGTTAGACAGTCATGCTCTGACGTTCTTCCTTTGTTATCCTTTGTAAGATTGTGGAACATTGTAGGAATGTTTTATAGAAGAGCATGTTCCCCCAACAACATCCCCAAAACATCTATGGTACATTGTGGGCGAAATAATCCACTTTTGTTAATATACATCACATTCATGGGAATTTTAAAAAAATCATCTGAGGCCTTGATAACATATGAAAATCATTTTTTGAATGTTGGTTTGAGAACGTTCCTCTTTTGTCATCATGAACATAATCTGTGTTCCTGACAACATAAGCTGAATGTTGACATTACTACAGTATGTCAACTGAATAGGAACATTACCAGAAACTTTTTTTTGTGTTGAATGTACATTTGATTACAACAGTTTCTTAAAAGAATGATTAGAACTTAAAGGTATTGTTATCAAATGTTGTGGGAATGCTGTGAGTGTCACCTGTGCTCCAGCTTCTAACAGCAGACCCATTAAGTCGGGCCTGTTACACTGAGCGGCCAGGTGTACGGGGGTCTGGCCTTTAGCTCCAGTGATGTTGGGGTCCAGTCCTTGTTCCAGCAGAGTCTGCACTATGGGCACGCTGCCACCGTGGACAGCCAGGTGCAACGCAGAGGAGAGGTCAGGTAAAGTGGCATCCAGTTTGGCCTGTTTTGCCACAAGCACTCTGAGGAAATAATAATAATAATCATAATAATCATAATAATAAAATGTCCCTATTTAAGATGTAACATTTGTTAAAGTGCAACATAGTACAGAAAAAGGACTTGTATAGCATATATACTCTAAAGCAAAATTGTACTGAATGAAGTGGACACATGCTTTATGAAAACACATTAATGAGTATGCGGAAAGAGCTGCAGTAATGGAGAAGTAAAATTATATTTGATATAGAAAGAAGGATGTGACATCACTTGAGGCTAAGTTTTAAACAAATGCAAGGGAATGAATTATGGCTCATATCAGTTGACCCAGTGTAGAAGTGTTAATTTCCTTCTTTAATTCATTAAACTACAAAGCTAATTCATCATGCTGTCATGGTTTTGGGCCGTGTACCATTTATTTCCTGCTTTATTTTGCCACTTCCTGCCCTTGTGGGACTTTTGCCGTCTCTACTTCCTGCCTCTGTCTTTTCCCTGCTTTTTAACTGCCCTGATCTGTTTCACCTGCATCTTGTCTCCCAGTTGGTTCCCTGTGTTTTCCTTTGGTCTCTGTCAGTTTGTCTGTTTCGTCCTCCTTTGGCCACCCTGCTGGATACCTGCCTGTTTTGTCACCTGTTTGATCACCTGTTTGTTACCCAGCTTGGCCTCCTTCATGTTGGACCACCTGCTCACCTTGAGTTCTTCCCTGTATTCATCTGCTTCAGGTTTGCACTTTTAGTTTTTGAGTTTCTTTCTTTCTTGCTTTGGTTTATGCTATGCTGTTGTTGCCATCTTTGGATTGTTGGTTAATTTTTGCCAGCTGCCATGCTTTTGATTGATCTGGACTGTGTTTTTTTCTTTGTATCAGCTGTCAAGTGATTGTATGGGTGATGCTATTTTGTGTAACACTTATTTTCTTTCAGCTTAAATGTCTTTCAGCTGAGCAGCGTGGGATGTTAATGAGAAAAACACGGATCTTTGCGTGCTATAATTATGTAGTTTTCCTGATCTTGATCCCGCTTTTAAGCGTCAAGGCAGAGACCAATACAAACTATCTTGATTTAATGTAGCGCATTAAAACCTTTATTAATAATAGTAGATGTTTTGACCACACAGGAAAATGCAAACATGACTTTATCTTCTGATTTTCTAAAGACTCCTAAACAAGGCTCTGGTCAAAGCAACAAAAAGACCAGGCATGCACAAAATCTACATCTGGTTATAAGACATCAAAACCATAATGAAAAAGTTGGAGTTAAACAGGTCTCTGTGATTGACAATCATATTAATGTGAAGTCTGTGATGTTGACAGGTCATGACAAAGGATTTTAAGTGAAACCTGCAAGATGGAAAACAACATAAAAAGACATCTACAAAAAAAACAAACCATTTTCAATCAATGTAGTTTAAAGAGTTTGGGAAAATCACAATATAATTTAAGTGAAATCAAAAGTTAGTTCAACATGTTGCAGTAACTAAGCCTGCTTAAAGAAAATAATTCTCTAAAGACTGAAATAAAACTGTATTTAATTAAACGTTCCTATAATGATACCAGATCTTTGTTGGAGGACGTCACCTGAAGACTTCAGTGTGTCCCAGCTCAGCCGACAGCAGCAGAGGAGTGTAACGTTGTTTGTCACAGGTGTTCACATCTGCGCCGCTGTCTATCAGTGTGGTCACCACTCCGTCATGGTTCTGTCTAACAGCTGAGAGCAGAGCAGAGCCCAGGGCTTCTTGGCTCAGAACTTCTCTGGCATTCGCTGTGAACAACATCAGTATGAGCTGGAATGCTTCAGCCTCATATTTTAAGACAATCTGTAAAGACTCACCAAGCAGCAGCTGGAGAATTGTAACTTCATGGAGATTAATTGCTTCATTTATGGCATCACGGTCAACTTTGGCCCCTGCGTTTAGAAGCATTTTGACCATTTTGTCATTGTTTCTCTTGACTGCATAAAACAAAGCTGTCTTTTTGTGGTTGTTTATGGCATCGACAGCGGCTCCGTTCTGCAGCAGCAACTCAGCAAGCTTGCAGTTATCTTCCATGACTGCCTTGTGGAGAAACGTGTCCTGTGTGTGACTTTCAGACTGCTTGGCCTCCTCCTTCACCAGGATTTTTATAGAATCCAGGTGCTCATTTTCCGCTGCCAGGTGAATGGGCGTTTTTCCCTGCGAATCCAATGTGTGGATGGGGGCCCCGGCCTTCATGAGGACCCTGATGATCTCAGTGTGACCCCTGCTGGCTGCTGTGTGAAGAGCTGTGTGACCAACATCATCCTGCAGGTCTAGTCTGGCTCCTTTACAGATCAAGAGCTGAATGGTGGACAAAAGCTCCTGTTCTGCGGCTACATGTAATAGAGTCTTATTGGAGGAATTAACAGCGTTGATGTCTGTGTCTTCCAACAGCTCCTCCAGTAACTGTGGCTCCCCATTCGCAGCAATCATGTGAAGGAGGTTTTCTGATTTACCGTGTGCAGGTTTGTCTTTTTTTCCAGACAGCACAGTGCTTCTTCCTGCTTTTTCAACATTAGATCTCTTGGTTTCTTTAATGCCACGTAAAGCAGGAATTTTCTGAGTTACATTTAGATTTTTGGATTTATCCATCCACTCATGGTCCCTCTCCAGCAGATACCCAATCAGCTGTCTCCTTGAGTCTCGAATTTGTTCGTTCACACTCCCCACGTAGGTCTTGATCCTCTGATAGAGGTCTGGTTCTACCAGCATTAGACATGGATGGAAGAATTTGCGACACGCTCTCTCACCTCTGGCCTCCAGGATGTCCAGGACTCTGGAGTTCTGATCTGTGCGCGTCCTGATGGTCAAGATGACGGACCTCTTTGCTGCTGTCATGGCTCCTTCTTTGACTAGAAGATCCAGCAGATCCTCCGTCTGTGAGATCCCATAAACCAGATCTCTTCTCTTTGCCTGGATCACATCCACTGCGTAAGGGTTCGTGTAGTTTGATGTCACTTGAGCATCAGAACCCTTTAGTATATTGAACATTTTAAATATGCTGAGAAACGAAGTGTTTTCTTTAGCCTTCACACATGTCCATCTAAGAATTTGTTGTTTTAGTTCTACATGTGTGTTTCATACCATATTGCTAAGTGAAGAACCTCGCCTTAGCAACCAAATTACAGACAGAAAACATTCACCACGGAGATCCGGCTGGCTTAACCCGCCCTTTGTGAGATTATGTGATCAACTAACAGTGTTGGCTTTCATTAGATGTAACAAGAGTCATACATTGTTATCATAGTAGTAATATACTGAACAAAAATATTTGCAAATGCTCTCCTTTTCTCACCTTTTTTTTCTATGGTTCTATTTAGAAAAGGGTTAAGTGTAACTAATTGCACCCAAAATGTCTTTAAGCTGTTCAAATAGTGACAAATTCTCAACCAGTGAGTTAATCCACATCCTAGTCGGGTCCAGCTTTGAAGGATAGTGATCAGATAGCATAACAGTACGTAGACTTTCCTTTGACCAGTGACTATAAAAGGCCACCTTAAAATGTTTACTTAAACTTAAAGTTTTAATCAAATGACATGATGCCACAGATGACAAGAGAAAGACAAGAATGGGCTGTTGGCAAATCTGGATGCTTCATGTCTGTTAGTGCTGTAACAAGGCACTGGACCATTTGTCGTCTAAAAAGTCATTACAGATAACATAGTACAACAATAAATCTGCTTCATGATGCTCTGGATGGACATTTCCATCAATGTGATCCTGTTCCCCAAACGTGTCCTTCAAGAAAGAGTGGGGCAACATTTTACATGCAGCATCAACAACCTTATTAACTTACTATGCAATAAAAATGCTGGACGCACTCATTGCTGACCTGTGATTGGTGGTCCGTGACCTCACTCTCCACCTGCCTGTTATTGTTTGCAATATTAATGACATCCATTCTGTTGTAGAGGTGCAGTGTGTTGGAAAAACAAAAAGGTAAGTTAAAACGAATGAAGAGAAAGACATGATATGAATTTTGTAAACACCAGCTACAAAAACTTAGAGTAGCTGTCTTGAGATAACTTTGTATGTGTGAGAGAAGCCTCCATGTGCTCAATGTCTGAATCACGTTTAGAACAAATTAGTTTGATATCTAATAACAATCATGATGATCAGTTTTCAGGAGAGGAAGAGCTATACCATCTTCATCTTGTGATTCATGAAAGAGACGGTCAGTACGTGGAGTGTTTAAAGAAGCCGTCCCAGCATCATTACACTTGTGAATAGATGTTCTGTGTTTAAACTACAAGATGTACCAAAAACAAAGAATGTATGACGCTTGAATGGAAACACAGCCTTGATAGGATGTGAAAAACAGCTGACGATCATTCTTTGAGGAGGTGTGTGATGCATGTTGGGCAGGATAAAGAATCGTATTTGAGTTAAAGCATGTTGGACAAAGGTTATTTACTTTAAGATTAGGCCAATTTGTTTGCACACTCTGTGTAGTGCACAACAAAAACTTAAAGTGGACTAAAGATCAGTGACTTTGCTCATTTTCCTTCTCACAAGTGTTCTAAAATAATGTAGAATAATTCACTGTATGTCGTAGTCAGACAAATATTCCACCACAAAAACATGTGTGTTATATGTATAACAGCACACAAGTGAATTTTGAACTGTCAAAAAAATTTCAAGGCTATTCAAAGACTAGCAGGACCACTACCATCCAAGAAAAGACCTTAAAATGAAAATGAACTGTGTCTAATTTAGGTACAAGTACTCATTATGCAACGGAATGACCTCTTTGAGTTATATTATCACACAAAACACAGATTTATTGTATAATATTGTAACAAGGCACGATACATTAAAGATAGTTAGAGACCTGTTAACTTATATTATTAGAGACTATAGCTGTCTATAGCTGACTATGACTACAATATGGCCTCTAAAATTAAGTAACATTTCAGTATAAAATAAGATAAATACTTGATGTAACCTACTTGCACTGCCTCATATTATCCTGTGTGTATTCTCTCTATTGGCCAAATATTATTTAAGAACCTGTCCTGTAACCTGGGTTTACAACTAATGCGGATTTATATATTTTAAAATAGAAATCGAAATGTCTTTTCTAATTCTCTGATTTTAGACATGCAGTCAGCTTTATTGTCGTCGTAATCTTTTCTCTGATTCGTCCTTGGGAAGTAAATCCAGTCTGTTCTTTGTACAACTTCTCAGGACTCCCGGTATTAAACACACAGAGCAGATTACAGCGTCGAATCACTTCCCGTAAGACACGCCCCCTCCGTGGTGACGTACATCTTCCGAGTGTTCCCTCTCCTTATATGGCAGGGAAGCGTGCCGCTTTCCGGAATGATGTCATGTTGCTCCAAGTTTGAGAAATCAAAACAGATTTACAAACAAACAAACAAACAAACAAAAATAATAATAAATCACAATTCCCACAAATAAACATGTAGAATAGTAGTCAATTTGAACAGATCAGAGTAGACCCAGCTCCAAACAGTCAATTTTAATAAGTGATGTGTTCTTTTACTGTTGATATTCGGTTTTAAATGTAACTTATTTTGCGAAAGGCTGTATCAAGATAAAATAAAAACAAAAAAATACAGCAAAAGGAAAGCAGACGGTTGAATTAGCTGCAAATATGTGTTAAAATATGTTAGAAAAATATTCCCAGTGGGGTTTTTTAAAAAGAAAAACAATAGTAAAAAATAAATATTAAAAAATAAAGCTATGTAAATAAAAAAAATATATAAAGAAAAGTAGTTGAAGAAAAACTAGCACAAAATAGTACATGGCTTCTTAGAGTAAGCTTTTAAACGTAACCATTTGTTGTACTTAAAAATATTCTTTTAGCCTTCACAGTTGTTGTTAATATTCTGTGTGTCTGATTCTTGACATTGCAGGTTTGTGTTAATTGATGAAACACATGGACCAATACAAGCTGCAATACAGGCAAGAACATTTTGAGAAAGCAGCGTTTCATCGCTCAGGTCATGGTGACTCGGTCTGTGGCGCCCTCTAGTGTTTCATTATTAGCAGCACAGGTGTCCTGCAGTGTTTGAAGGCACCGAACTTTATAACCTTTGAGCCAGATCTGACCTGTCCTGTCACATGCACCTGCTGTCTGAGCAGGAAAGACATTCAGAATGTTGGCTTAGTTTACTGAAGATACAGAGAAAATCTAAGCCTCCAACCTGTTTATTTGGAACTTTAAAAAAATTAGCTGTGACCTGCACTGTGTCTAGTGTACTTAATTGACAAAGATGACCAAAATAAATAAATAAATAATAATAATAAAAATTATGTTGGAACTGGAAACCTGGCTGTGTTGTGTTATACATTATAATGCAGTAACTTGGATATAGTTGTTGCAGACTTGTCAATGATTTTGTAATAAGCTCCAATCTTGTGTTTTGATCTATTTTTTTTTTTTTCCAGTTGAAGCATCTCCTTTTGCTTGTATTACTATTTGTTCTTTTAACCTATTCTGCTTTCAGAGAGGATCTTTATAGCAAAGTTGCTGAAAGTACTCAATAAGAGAACTGTGTGATAAAGGAATAAAATACATCTAGAATATACAATTCCAAAAATCCACAGTGTACCCTATGTGGAGCCATTTGTAGTCAACGATCTGAGACTTTTTTTTTGCATTTCTTTTGACATTTGGGGTCATTCTTTGCAAAAGGACAGAGAATAATTTGGGGTAACTAAATGGTGCAACAGCATGAAAGATGGCCTGATAATTTATGTGTTTGTATATGCTCGTAAATATATTAATATCCCATTTCACTGAACAGTTTGTTCTTCTGTTTGCTTTATGAGAACATGTGCCTTATAAAATCATCTTTAATACTTGCACCTGAGCTTGTTTATATATATGTGGTTATTTCTTGAACTTAGCTTAGTTCTCTTATCTGCATTTAACAGATTTGTATATATGAAATTATGTTTTCACTTCCATTTATTTATGTGTGGACTCATTTTCATCATTACTTGTGCTATTGTGTTCCTAAATTTTGCAAGTTTCACAGGAGGCCCTACATTGAGCTCTGGTTTTTGGCTTTTGTTTTTTCATACTTTAAATATATTTGTTATAAATCCTTTACCCTAGTAAGCATTTTGTGCCAAAGCTTGAAAACCTGAAATTCTTCCATTTCTATCAAATCAGTGATGTCTTCAGTTGAGCTTGTTGTTCATTTCAACCTGTTGTACCTCGGTGTTACAGTTCCAGGCTCCTACAGAGTTATACTTCTAGTGGCATAAAGTGTTTACGGAGCTGTAAGAGGTTTTTGTGTTGCCTGGTGGCTACATTCTTCTTGTATATCTGCGTGTGCTGAGACACAAAGTGGACATCTCAAACTCTACAACCCCAATTTGCAGAATTGGCCTCCATCAGTAGTAAGTGAGCCTGATCTGTCAGCTGAAACACAATCACTTAGCCTGGATCAATACCAGCACTAATGGAATTTACCTTGAGGTACTCTGAACTAGCAGCTCTTGCAACATGTTGCAACATGTTTTATTGTTTGAGTTCCTGACATGGCACACCCACTTTTTTTTTCTTCTTTCTGTCACATTCTTACAAGAACACAGAGGCAATGTTGCTTCATTTTATCTGGTTTATTTTCTTAAATATTGATTAGCTTCTGAAGTGCTCAGAAAACAAACATAAAAAATTATACAGTATTCTTATTACAAATGGTAAACATAAGTACTCCAAGTTGATCTTATATACATATAACAATGAGTGAAACCCCATTAAACAACTTTAGAAAAAAACAAGTAAATCTTGAAGCTTTTCTAACTTAACTTCTTACAATTAAGAAAAAAGGTACTTTGTACTGTAACTCAGAAGTCAGGCAGCATTTGTTACAACTTTTCAGCCGTTTAGAGTTGACCAACACGCCCCAAAATTGAGGCCATTATGGCTACAGCAAGAAAAGTCTCTATTGCAGGTTCTTAAATCCTCTAATACTGAAACTTCTCCTTGGATGTCATGATTAAGGTCCATGCAGAGCTGGGTGTAAATCAAGAAAACTTCAGTCCTGTCCAGTTCTGTTATAAACAAACAGCACGAAACAGAAACAGAAAGGTATCCTGCTTGGTGCCATGACCCCTCTGGTTCATGGCTACTGTCACTGTCCCGAGCCCATCTCTAGGACGCGCCACCGGGGAGCGCATGGCACTTTCAGGAACTTTTAGCGCGGCTCCCCGGTCCTGCCAGTGTCAGCGCCACATCGTCCCAAATCCCGTCACGATTTCGGGAGACGCAGCCACTTACTGTCACAGGAAGCGTCCGTTTCTTTCAACTACAGTCTTTTTCTTTTCTCTCTCTCTCTCTCCGCCCGCCGCTTGGTCACCACCTCAGAAGGTCTGGAGCTGCTGCGTTAACATGAGCTGGCACCCGCTGTTGACGTGGTTCATCACCTTCTGCTTCAGCTGGGCCACCTGCTCCCGCAACATGTTGGCGGTGGAGGCGAGCTCCGAGTTTTGGGACTTGAGGGTCTTCACTTTGTCCTCCAGCCGAGAGATGCGCTCCAGCTTCCTCTTCCGGCACTTGGAGGCGGCGATGCGGTTCCTCATCCGCTTTCTCTCGGCCTTGATGCGCTCCTGGCTCTCCATGTCGATTGGGGAGAGAGGAGGGGTCTCCCCGGGCATCTCGGGCACGGTTTGGGGCTCCTCTTTGAGCGCCGAGAGCCGGGGGAGCTGGGAGGAGGGCTGGCCGTAGATGGGGAGCTGTGGAGGCGCAGCTGGGAAGGACATGGTCGGGGCTGAGGTGGTGTAGTTTGGTGCCGACACGGTGCTGATGGCCGGGTTGAAAGTGTTCAAGTCCTCGTAAACCGGCGAGTCGGAGCGCATGGTGGTGTTGTTGCTGTAAACGGTGGCACCGGCGACGGAAGAGACCGGCGGCAGGGCAGTGTTGACGCTGGTCTGGGCAGCGGAGGTGGTGGCCGGCATGTGCTGGTGGTGCAGCTCGGCCAGGGCTCGGACGAACCCCTCGGCGAAGCCCTCCTGCTCGTCGGTGACATTCTTGGGGCACAGGAACTGGGTCGGGGTCGGCGTGGTGGTGATGAGCCCGTTACTGGACTGGATGATGAGCCGCTCCAGCTCCGGGGAGGCCAGCTTCAGCAAGCCCACGTCCGGGGAGGTGAGGATGTCTCCGGCTTTGGCGCGGAGGTGAGGTTTCAGAGTGCCCGTCGGGTCGGAGAGGTTCAGTGTCATGTTGTGTTTCAGCGCTTTGGGGTTGCTGTATCCGTAGCCGGCGTTGTCGTGCTGGGAGAAAGCGTTGAGTGAGTCGTCATAGAAAGTAGTTTCCATCTTGGTATACATAGAAGAGAACCAAAAACAAGTGTAGCTACAAAAATCTTCTACAAAACAACTTTTCGTCCCCCCTCTCTTCTTCCTGGTTACTGAGGTTTCCAAACGTCCTCTCTTTGCGTAAAAAAACTTCCAAAACTTTGAGTGCGCACTTTCTTGACACAGGAATCAGGACTTACTTCGTTCACCCGGCGACGGTCGAGTGCTCAGTGTTGAGTTGTAACAGTTCACAAAGCTTTTTCCAAAGTATCCAGACTTGTTTTGAGTCAGTGAATGAAAAAGCAGCGAGTGGCTCTAACTTTTCTCTGCGCGGTGCCTCCTCTGCCTGCCTGTGTATATACTCTGAGCTGTACAGCGTGGAGCCAAACCTTATCTGCTGCCGCTGCCTCTCTAAAAATAACCATGATGTCATGACGGGGCTCTCCCATTGGTTGAGGGCGGGGCTCGGGGCGGGGCAGATAAGGTGCGTTGCCTTGACGACCACCAGAAGATTCTCAATCTCGCGGTGGATTGTGGGATGAGGTAATGCTGTAAGGAGAGCGTAAGAGCGGTGCATTGTGGGATGACGTATTGTTTTTGAATATCTGGTTACCCGCTTTACTGTCAGTGGCGGGACAGACAGTGTTCAGGACAGCAGCTCTGACAGCGCTGTTTAAAGGTTATTTTACTGAGAAACTGCTGCAAACCCACATTTATTCTCTGTCAGGGCTTTATTTATTACACTTTTTATTTGTTCAAACTTTGTGTGCGCACAGAAGTGTTGCGTTTAACCTGTGGAAACCATTGAAAATGCAGTTAAGATATATCATTGTGACCAATATTCTATTCTAGATTTGGTTTTATTTTATTCAAATATATTATTCAGCTTGAAGTTTTACATTTGTCCAACTTTAAAATAACTTCTATGACCTGCAGCAAGTTAATTTATTCTATTCTATTGGATTCTGTTCTATTCTATTCTAGATTCTGTTGGATTGTATTTCATTCTATTCTATTCTTTTTTTCTGTTTAGTACCTCTTAACGAATTCAAAACATGTTAATACAGATCTACAATTTAACACTGTTCTATTCTGTAATATGTGCAATTGTAAACTGCCACTTAGCTTAAGCTTCTTTTTTTTAGGCTGTCTGACTTCAAAATAACTTTCTAATAAAAAAAACCTACATTAAAAATCCTGTTCTATGCCATACTGTATTGTTTCCTTCTATTCCAATATACTGTTCAACTTATACTTTTAAAAGGTTGTCTGACTTTAAAAAAACATTTTGATAATGACTTATTCTACTCTGCAGCTAAATCAAAGCTCCATTTTGAGTTGGAACTGGAGAAATTTGAGCTCAAACGCAGATCTGGACATGAAATGAAAGAAAACTTATATGTGAAAACAAATTATAGATTTTTCCATGTATGTGTGTGCTCACGATGGAAAGTCTTCGTGTCATTTCACGTCTTGGTCTGAGGATCTCATGGTGGTCTCTGGTTGGTGGTCTCATATAATTTGTCACACACACTCCTCACATATAGGTGTGTACATGCTGAGGGAGTTAAAATCCGACACCTAGGCAGGTTAGTATAAACTGACATATTTAGTGAGAAATGCATTAAACGCTGTTATTTACCTGAAATGCAGTGTTTGGTCAATTCTGCTGCACTAAGCAGTCCCTTGACATTTAAAATTAAAAATCACCTGCCTGTTGGTTCAGTCATTACTTCTCGCACACATTTGAAACCTTTTATTTCTGCGACTACGAGTTGTTAAAGACGGATCTACAGACGTCTGTTCACCCTCATAAAGAGCGAGTACATTTCCTATTATCCATGTCAGGGTGTGTAATTAGTGTAGTGCAGTCCATTGTCCCCTGGCCCTCGGTCAGAAATCACTGCTGCTTTAATGGCAGGAGGTTAACCGGTGTGTCTTACGTGTTCCCCTCCAGTCCTCCACACTCCCACTGTCTGGGTCATCTTCTGCCCTGCCAGCTTTACTGCCCACACTCTCCAGCACATCCAGTCTAAATATGTCCCCCTTGTGTGACAAGTAAATCAGTCCCCTGGCGCTGACTGGCTCAGAGAGGCACCTCAGGAGGATGAACCTGGATCATAAAACACCACCACAGTCTGACTTTTTATGGCTGCTAATGTTGTCTTTATGTACTGTTGTGTGTGTGTCAAACTGTGGCAATCAATAAAGTCAGATATAATCTGATCTAACTGGTTGACTTAACTGATCTTTGGCAGTTTCTTGTATGATTTAAACACATGAGACAATTTTGCTTTGCTTTATGACCATCAGGGAAAGGTTAAGGTGAGTCAAACTTGTGCAGTATTTCTTTCCCTTTCTGTTTCATTCACTTGGTCGTAGTTTTATAACAGTCAGGGATGAAATGAGAGCAAACAGAATAAGCACAAGTTGTTTAGACGCTTGTTTACGCTCGGTGTTCCACTGGCACATTTTGAAATATTTATCCTCTTTGGCTCATTCATCTATTCATGGCTTCTTTTCATTTAAATCAAAGCACATAGGTGGTCTGCTGCCCGCCACCTGACAGCAGGGATCCGCATGTATGGCTTCACCCATTGTCCCAAACAGACAAATGAAGTTAAAGCAAAACACATGATGTCATTTAAAGTTATTATCTCATTTAAATTAAAGCTCTTTTTGGAGTCGGATCCCATGGCAAAAGTCAGACCTCTGCAAATTCTGTTTTATATACTTTCAAACGGTGTTTAATACAGAACCCCTAAATGTTTCAATATGACTGCAGCGCTGGACGGATTGGGTCTGCTTTTCTTCCCTGGTCGCCATGCGTAAAGTTATAAAAGGGTAACCACAGCATGGTAGCTTGCCAAAGTCATTTTCTGTGTAGGAATGTATGGGAAAATTAGCATGGAGGAACCCCGCTGTTTAAGTGACTATTCACCGTGAGGGTAGGATATCCCGCTGCTGCCTGGTTCAGTTTGGTCAACGGTGGTCATAAAGTACTTATTCAGAATTGTCCTCAAATGTAGAAGGCTGGCGACAGAAGGGGAGTATGTGGTTGAATTCAGGGCAACCATACCCATAGTAATAATAATAATAATCATAAAAATACTAATCATAATAATAAAAATAAAATTACATTTAGAAAAGTAGAAATAAATATTGATAAAGACCACCTATAATTTCTACTCTGCCTTTTTGTGTCCATTGCTACATATAAATGATTTACAAGCCCCCAATCAGCACACAATATTAAACTGAATTGAGGTGATTCACTGCCACCAGTAACACAGAGACCCTTTTGTGAATAATTCTGATTAGTACGAACGACTAGTGAGTCAGTGTTTAGATTTAATTATTTGTGGTTGCAAGTTTTCGTGTTTTTGACAAGCAAAGAGTGTTGTGGCAGTCAGTAGTAAAATATGACTCAGCACTGACTCATGTCACGGTTATTGATTTAACCCCTACAAACTCATGTGAGCATTGGAGTTGCATATTTAGAAGTGTTATTTCCATGAACATAATCTCTTTCAGTCTAAAAATGCCTTAACGGTAATTCTCTAGAATGTCCACATCTTGGAAGTTCCTGCCTCTATTACTGACCACTGGCTGCTGCTCGAGCACACCAGCTCACCTGTATCACTACTCCCTTATACATAATGGCAAGTTGTAATATTGGAGTAATTCAGCCTTTCATGAAGACTGATCATGAATACACTACAGTTTCAAGGTAGAAATGCACCACCATGGTATAGACTGCCAAATAAACAGAACATACATACAAAACTATATACAATGTCCACATCAAATGTTATACAAATATAAATAGTAATATATTTTTCACAGTGTGTGACTGTAAAATTACACTGTTTTACTATATTTAAATTGGCCACATGTGCTGTTATTTTTACAGTTTATGAACATTGCGGTGCTCCATCATTTTTTAACATATTTTCCTAGGCAAGTTTGCTGCCAGATTTTCAGTGTTTTTACTGATTTTAATTGTTTATTTATTTTACAGTGCATTTAAAATCGTCGCAGACTGCCACACCACAAAAACTGCTCAAAAGTTGTTCAAGTACCACGACAAAGTGGGAACAATCTATGGGGCGCTGAGTCATCAAAGTTTTTTTTTCTTGGCCTACAATATCTTAAAAGATTTCCAGTAATAAATAAGTTAAAATCAGAGGTTTTCACCGTATACTGGTAAACCGATTGCAGAAATTGAAGTCGGAGGTAAGAGTAATGTCACGGCTTGCGTTTTACTGTAACAAAACCTTTTTAAATCTAGACATCAACAAAGGTCAAGAAACTCCTTTCTGCTTCTTGCATTTGTGGTTCACTTTCAAGATAAAGAATCACGTTTTTTTTGTTGTGTGCATTTTTTTTTTTCAGTGTTCCCGCTCAGCTGCATCCTGACCTTACGTGGTGCAACTGGACCTTCTCAGTTATCTTGCATGTAGACTTTCCACCCACAGACTAACCTCCGCTGTTCGCTGAACTTTTCTTTATCAGTATCGCTTCCTCTCTGCCATTTCTTTCACATCTGTTACTCCCTTCATTCTGACATTACCTCTGCACTATTTTTCCCTCTGGACTGGATCCCACATGTACTCCTCTTCTATCCCCCAACACACTTTGCCTCTCTCTTATCTCTCTCCTCCTCTCTGGCTCTCCCTCGGCCCTCTCCCTCTCATCTTACTCCTATCAGTGGCCGTCCAGGCAGCAGGATTTCCCCTGTGATGGAAACAGGCTGCGGCCTAATTGTATTGTTTCAGCAGTTCTTTTCAGTAAAATCTCAGACTGCTCTCTATGTTTGTGTTGGTATCAGTAAGTTAAACTAGTTCACTGGCCAAAGCGCTACACAGTACAAAGGAAATACACACATGTAAAACCACCGAAACACTGACAAAAAAAAGATCTTTTGTCCTTTACGTCACACTTTACATCCCCTGAGGTTTGCAGGGTGACTGAGAGGCAGGGAGACGGACTGTTGAAGCTTTTGAGACGGTGCACACTCACAATGGTCTTACCCTGTGAGGAAAATTGTTGTTTCAGCTGTTGTGTGAGGGGAAAAAAGCACCCAGCTGTGTAGATTGTGTGTCGCACCAGACTGTAAGCAAGCGCACACACTTGACTGTATATGCATCTGGGTCGGCCTTTGTTGTGAACGTGTGCATGTATTTGTTACTGTGTAAAGGTGAATTTGAACCAAGAGTGGCTGAAATAACTTGCTAAAACTGAAATTACACGTTTATTTAAAGAACCTATTCACATATAGAACATCCTGAGGCAACAACAACACCTGGACACTCTTTGAGTACAGTAAGAGTGAATAAAAACAGTCAACAACCAGAGAAGTTTAAATAGTGAGCTTACAGTAAATGGATAA